TGTCCTTTCAATTCATCAGTCAACATTTATTAAGCACTTATTATGTGTCAGTCTCTGTACTGCTATCCTTTCATCATCAATGACTACCAGGGAAAAGATGCCTCAAGGTATTCCCCTTTTCTCTTAGCACTTTGGATTTCATTTTCTTCTTATCTCATCCCTAAGTATCTACTCCTTTATCTCTAGCCCCTATTTCTCACCTTGCCAAGGCAAGATCAAATGTCAAGAAGCAATTGGAACGGAGAAGGGAATGTTAAATTCTGAAACTGATCCTCTATACTTTCTCCTATTAGAGCTGTTTCTTCAGGCCCTGCATTAGTGATCATCAATAATGTCTCCAGCGCTGTCCTTTCTTTTCATTGTCACCCACCAACTCTGAGGTATTCTTGGGTTTCCAATGCCACTGTAGCTTCTGAGATAAAATGCTTTGGATTGAATGAATGTAGTTTTCCTATGAAATGTAGCTGACTCCTCTTTTGTCACTTATGAGTGAATTTCTTTTCTCATCTAGGATCTAATTTCGTTTCTTTGTTTCATTCAAGAAGTATTTATCAAAGCCTGCTATGTGAAGAGGTACCTGGGAGGTACAGAGTTTAGAGACACAGTTCTGCTCTTAAAAAGTTTACAGGGCCATTCCAAGAAAAGCAGTAAAATCCACAAGTGTAGCTTCTGCTGAGGGATTTATAAACTCCAAGGAAGAAATGCATTACAAAGACATGAACTAAACAGAAAAGAGATAGGGTTAGCGCCTGAGGGCAGCAAAGCACTCAGCTTTCAAGTCAATCAGGATATCTGACTCTAAGCAGAAATCAGGTCACCAGAACCTAAGAAGGTTATGTAGAAGGAACTAAAAGAAACATCGGACACCAATAAGTTACTCAAACCAGGCAAGGACTTGATAACTGGTGATGAAAAAGACATGTTGTCAGATATATCATGTGAGGTAACAACAGTGATTTAATTCTTTCACAATCATTTAGGAGAATCAGGTAACATCATCATTAGCAGGAGGTTTAAGAGAAAACTCAGTGCTGGTACAATATTATCTGATGTGTGCTTTTCCAAAACCCTAGGCTCATGTCCTAAAATAAGAGATTCTATCCCTCAAAATACTGATTTTTTTTTAATGTTCTGACCTTTAAAAAAAATCTTCTCGCATGCAAAGTAAATTGATCTATTTATAATAAGCTGTTCAGCCATACGGATGATACATTTTTAAAAAAAAATCAAAACATTGGGAGGATTGCATAATTGTTAGGACTAACAATGTAAATGTTACAAAATAGCAATATTAAATGACATTAATTCAGTAAACTTTTATGGAGTACCTCTTATGTGCTAGGCCTTGTTCCAAGTGAATGTGGGAGAAGCAGACATAAATAAGACAGGCTCTGCCTTGAAGTAACTTAATTTTTTTTTTCCTTTTTTTAAGGCAATTGGGGTTAAGTGACTTGCCCAGGTCACACAGCTAGTAAGTGTCAAGTGTTTGGTCTGAGGTTGGATTTGAACTCAGGTCCTCCTGATTTCAGGGCCAGTGCTCTATCCACTGTGCCACCTAGCTGCTCCAGGAACTTAAAATTAAAATAGAAATTTTCCTGTCAGATTCATGAAAATGCTTATGTGATACTGATATTCAACAGGGAGCACCTTATAAGTTTGTATTTGATGTGCCCTAAGAAGTAATGTTTGGGCTCTGAGAGGCCTATGGTGCAAATTGCTCCTGGGACCAGAAAAATAACACTTGTGGTCCTTATCAGAGCCACTGCTGGCTGGTGTGCTACTGATGGCTATTTCAAATTCTGTGTATATGGGAATGGAAACAGCCTGCTTTCTATAGGGGAGTGGAGGTATCCTTCTTGTAATTCCCACTCTGCTTTTATTTCAATAGGTGCCAGCTTGCTGACCTCATAACAGGATGTAACATAACTTTTGATTTATTTATGTTTACTTACTGGCCATTGTTGCTAAGTTTTACATGTCATTTAATAGCTACTGTTTTGTACTTTTGCCCCAAGTAGTCTTAAAAAAATCTAGAAAACATAATTGTTAATTAGCTGACCTTGGACATGTCACTTAGACTTTAAGGCCTCATTGAGGGGCTAGATGGTCTTTGAGTTCCCTTCCAATTCTATGTCCATGATCTGTTGATGCTTAGTTTGGTTGGCTGATATCCAGAAGTTAGAGTGTGTGCTATTCTTCATGTACTGAGATGATATTGCCAACTCAACGTAAGTAGGACATACAGTTAGATTTTTTTCTCCACTTATGGAGATAGATTTTCAGGAACTGATTCTTGCTGTCTTGGTTTAACAGCACATATTTGTAAAATAGCTGGCAGAGGTTAGTGGTGTCCTGGTAACTGAATAATGCAATTATGGAACAGAGAGAAACCAACTGGCCTCTACAAAGATCAGACTTATATCTTTAGCCTTATTAACACAATGCTCCCAAGTGAGTTACCTGGTCATAATAAATTGAGGAATATTGAATATTAAATAATTGCCTGGCCATAGAAGTAGGTGTAGCATAATGAAGTAAACACTTGTAACTTTATTAGCAGGAAAAGAAGAAATAAAATGAAGAACAAAGGTTAAAGGAATTGAAAATAGTTCTAAAACAGGATTGAACTTTTAAAAACGTGGCATAAAATATTTCGGTAACTTTTGTAGAGGTTATGACTTAAAATGTTTCAATCATGTGATATCCTAAGAACTATTAAAATAAATGACAATAATATAAATAGAACAATTAAATATAGACTTAACAGCTTCAAGCCACAAGGATAGAGAAAATGAAGCATCTTTGTTTTTCATCTAAAAACACCAAGGTGAACTTAATTAAGAGTAGAAAAATGTCTGTTTTGGGAAACTAGAGATGGTAAGAGGATGAAAAATACTTAATAAAATGTTTTTTGTTTCTTTTCTGTAGCACCTTCAAAATTTCTGATCTCATTCCAAATGGACAAGAAACAGGAATAATTGATTTGACTATCGATTAACTCGGTTATAAGCTTTTGTCTATCCCACCATACAATTACATATATTTTATAATTTTCCCAAGGGAGCTCTGCCTGACCTGGTATATACTAGGAATGAAACCCATTAGAGTCAGTGATTCTCTCCAGATATGGGGTGTTGAAGAGTTGGATAGAGAAGGTGGGCTTGAAGGAAAGGGGCTCAAGAATAGTATAAGCCATTCTCTTACCAAATAAAAACTAAATATATGTGGCTTGAAAGAAGAGGAGTCATATTTCTTAGTCTTAAAATTCTTATATAGCTCTCTTTGTCCTCCTTTCTTTCATCCTAGAAATACCCCTTCTAAATGCATGCTGATATATTTTCAATCTTGACCAGACATTACAGTGATGTATAAAAAAGGAAGGTTGCTTCTAGGCTGGGCTATTCAACCACTAAGTGAAGCATTTTATTTCTATATTTATACCTGTGAGAGTTCCTCTCTCATAACCAATTTACAAGCCCTATTCCACCAAATAGAATAGAAACACATGGACATTAACAATAATTACAGTAAATGTGTCTTATTATCAAGGGGAAATTGGTAGATACTCAAAATACTATTAAGTGAGGATAGCACCAAATGATGTCAGGATTATATCTTAGCAACATTAAGCTAAGCAAAAAAAGAAAATTTTGACGTGCCTGTTAATTGCTCCTATGTTGCTTCAGTGACCAAGACTAGGATAGTGGGGAACAGATGGAACTAGAGGAGGCAATAAGAGGAAGGAGAGAAATGAGAGTAATAGGAAGAAGAAAAACAGGTAACAAATAGAGTGGTCAGTAAGAGGAGCATCACTCCCAGCCCTGCTCTAGTGAAGATCTCTCTCTCTCTCTCTCTCTCTCTCTCTCATCTCCCATTTCACCCCTGTGTCACAAAGGGACACTAAGCAACTTGAGGACAGGGTTAACAAGTGTTTACAAGAAATATTATTAAATCTGGCAAATGCAATTTTAACAGAATAAATTTAATACAGGAATAAAGGAAGTAAAGCTGGAGCAGGATAGAGACTATCCCTTCTTTCTCTTTGGAATGGCTTATTTTTCTGTTAGCTCCAGCTATTGGGGAGGGCACCTATGCTAAAAACAGACTTTTATAAGTCACAGGAATCTCCCAGTTCCTCCCAGTCCCAGAGATGGTAACTATAGCTGTGTTAGATGCTAGCTGCTGCCCCAATAGTGCTGATGCCATGGGATGACTACTACCTTACCCTTCTCTCCTGGAGAGTTTACAAACTCTTACCTTCCCCATGAGCAAAAAAATCCACTTCTCCTCTCCCACCCCTAATCTCCGCCAAGAAGGTTGGGTTATTTTCCTTTCTTCCCAAAGAGGGAAGAATTATAGGTCCCAGGTTGTTTTGTGGCCAGCTAGCCCTTTGTCAGGCAATTTTACAGGAATAATGGGAGAGGAACAATGAAAGGGCGTCAGAGAGGAGAAGGATGTTGAGCAGTAAAAACTTCTACCCCATACCATGAAGTATTTAAGCACAAAGAAAGCTTTTGATTGTTGACATATGAAGAATCACAGAATGTTAGAGCTGAAAGGGGCCTTAGAATTAAAATTCAAATGGAACCATCTTTGTAATATGGGAGTGGTAAGAAATGTACACAGTGAAGGTTGATTAAAGGCAATATTTTGATAACATCAAAGGAAATGACGTGTCTTTGGTTTTCTTATTAAAAAAAAAAAGTAGGTGAATTTATTTAAGCAGCTAGGTGGCACCATGGATAGTGTTGGACCTGGAATTAGGAAGCCCTGAGTTCAGATTCATTCTCAGAACAAATTCTGTAAAACTTGGACTCAATCAAAAAGCCACACCCAAGGTCCTAGAAGACTACATGTGGCCTCAAGGCTGCAGGTTCCCCACCCCTAATATACTATATATTGATTAGACAGAACTTCATTGTAGGACCAACTCAAATGAATACTGTTTAAGAAAAGAATGCTTCATTTATAGTTAATGTTTTATCCATTTTAATTTACAGAACTTCTTTCAAATAGTTAGCAACCTTCTAGATGAAGAAAACAAGGAAAAATGGGAAGATGCACAACAGGTAAGATGGATTGGGATGCTTTAAATAATATTTTCCAATTAAAGTTCTGAAAAATAGTCTTGAAATTAAATATTTAACTAACTGTTGGGATATTAGTGGTGGGGAACAAAAGAAGGAAGAGAAGAAGGAGCACCAAGCTTCAGTGGAAAGAATACTGGATAGGGAAGAAGAGGCCTTAAGTTCAAAATACTGGTTTGGCTAATTACACTGCTATATGGCCTTAGACAAGTTTCTCAACCTCTCTGGGCTTCAGTTTCCCCCATGCATAAAGCAATGAGTTGGACTAAATGTCTCCAGTCTACCTTTCAGATTTGATCCTATGAAGTCATGCAGATTTTCAACATGATGATCAGCACATGACTTGATGTCACACTTTGGACTGAATACTACTCTAGAATCCTGAAAGGATTTTCCTAATTTCAGTAATTTATTTCTCTTAGGAATGAATTCTTAACAACTTTGTGCTGCATAATCACTTTTCTCATGTTTACAGAAAGAAAAGCTGATTACTTTAAAATCAAACAGGAATACACTGGCAGAATACTTTGACTTTGACCACTTGTATTTGGTATTTACAACTGAATTATAACCTAATGAAGATCACCTATACAGGTTCAAAGCTTTACACTTAGCTAAGATTTGTAAAGGTGAAGGATAGCCCAAACATGAACATTTGTTTTGAATTTTCTTGCCCTTTCTCCTGACTTTTAGTAGTTTAGTAGTGGCCTCATATGTCTCTGCTAAATGTGTCTCTTTCCCCTGACTCCCATGTGCCTAATTATCAACAACAATTTCCTTTTAAAAACCATTAACATCAATTTTGTAGGGGTGGGCACTACCAACTTCAACTCCTACACACCTTTAGTAGGTAACTCATGCACTGTTATGGCTCAAAATTCACCCCCTCATGGGCAGCCTTCTGATGATAGCCCTCACTGAACTTCACTAGACTGGACCGTCAATGAAAATATTCACTTGATGGCTAGTCATGTACTTGAAGTTTATCAGAGAATACACTCCATTGATTACAAGCCTTTCAGAAACCAGAATCAGGATCACCTCCATAAAGCATTACAGTAGAATTTTCATCAAAAGTCAGTAACAATTTAATATCAATAAATTTTCTTCATCATGTAAAATATGGGTGAGGACCTACAGAGGGAAGAATTGTTATGTTAAAAATAAACATCCCAGAAAGAAAAATGACTTAACTGGACTCATTCCTCCTTACTACTATTAAGTATTCATAGTTGATAATGCAAACTTAAAAATAATATTTTGTGAGCCTTTTATGGGATATATCTTTACTGTTGACTTCATATCTATATAATAGTTTGTGTTCTGTCTTCTAAACCAAGTATAATTATTTTAATTTATTTTCAAAAGTACTTTTCAAAATTCTGTTTTCATAGAAAATTATGATTTTCCAGTAAATACATGAAAGAAATGAAATTTAAAGGATGCTCATTTTTTAAGTGAATTAATCCTAAAGAATATTAAAATTTAGTTAAACTCTAAGAATCCTTCTTCTAAGTCATTAATGAAGCCTTTAAAACCATTAATCTAAACCTCTAAAACCATTAATGAAAAATTAAGGTTGACAATCTTGCAATTTAATTTTTCAATCTAAACTTTTTTTTCATGGAAGCAGTGGTTGCTAGATGAGGAAATCAAGACTTGACCAGCAGAATAATTAGAGACTAAACAATTTTTGATTCCTGCTGCTATTCATGAATTGTTTAAAATTTTATAAGACCTATTAGGTCATATTCAAATAGAGGTCATATTCAAAAGTAATCTTATAGCTCCCCTCTGCCCTTGTTCTATGGAAACCCTCACCTAACACATTACTAGGAGATACAAACTCCTCTGTCCTAAGGAGTTAAATAATGCTCCTCTATTATGGAGAACAAAAGAGTTAATATTCCAGTGCCCCATGATACAACTTTTAGTTGCTGTTGCTGAATATCCATGTTACATGGGTTTCCACTACTTCCCCTTTGATAGGATCTCTAATGATGGTCCACCATTCGGAGATACAAATTCCATGTATTTTTATTATATGTAACAACTTGTACTACATCAATAAATATTTCTTTTATTGAGATACTGAATCTCTATTTCTTTCTAGTAGTTTAAATTACACACTTGTGTTTGGCTTGCTTTCACTGGAAAACCTCATTCACTGTAAGTAAATGGTTGGGTTTCCTTCAGAATACAGGTGCTTAGGCTAGGCACATCCTTCTTCTAGAGCACTGGAGACCATTAATTATGGGCATATTTAGAACAAATACAAACAAAGCTGCAATTCATCTGATTCTGTGATATACTGTGAGATTCTCAACATGAACAAATGGATAAATGGGGGCAGAACTTCTGTAGTCAATTCAAATCCCTAAATCCATACTCTGGTTACTTTTGATTTGGATTAATAAATAATCTTTCTTTATTGCTTTCCAGAAGAAAATGTTTAATTTATTTTTTTAAATAGAGATGCTAAATAGTAAATGTTTGCAACTATGCTAAAAAAGATACAATATTTTATATGAAAACTCATAAACCCCCTCCCCCTGAATTTTTTGTATAAAGGACTAATTAGAGATCTTAGTGAGAAGACATACTTCCAAATTTTTCTAGGTTGATGCAATATTAATACTCTGCCTTTAGAAAAATAAAGATATACTTCAAACCACAGCAGAATAAAACCCTTTCTGCATTTGGAAGACTCTACTACATAAAATGTTACATATGATGACATTGTTTTATGGAATTTCTAGGGAGGAAACTCTTCCTTCTAATAAACAACTTTTCTGCAACTGGGGCGAGTTTGAGGGGAGTTCGGTACTCTGCCCTCTAGTCCTCCAATCAGAGAGGAGAGGAGATTTGCTTTAGTGGTGATGAGATCTGATTTAATGTTGGTGATATCAGAAATGATGAGCTTATCCTGGGAGGGATAGCTTGGTCCTAGTTTAACCAGACAGAGCAGCAGATGCAAAGCAGAGTGAGCTGACAGTCCAGCTCTCTCTCGCCTATCCACTTCTTCCCATGCATATATATATAAAATGGTATGTGTGTACATAGAAATTAGCATTATTTGCAAGGAATTAATAATAATTTTTTGAAGATGAGAAAGGAAAATGCCTTGTTTTCAAGCCTGGGAATAAAAAGAACTGAGTTCTAGCCTCAATTCTGCTACCAGTTAGTTGTTTTATCTTAATAAGCCACTTATTCCCTCTCAGCTTCCATTTTCTAATACAGAAAATAAAGAGGTTAGAGGTTAGGTGGTCTCCAAGGATCCATTTGACTCCAAAATTCTATTATTGACCTGAAAACATGCTACACTATTATGAAAAAAGATCATGCTCTAGAAAGTGTTCTTTTATGGACTGTTGGCATCATAAGTCCCTTTGCCAGTGCCCCAATTAATTCATTTGTGTCTTTATGTGCCATATGTTCAAGTCAGTCAGAAAATGCATTTATCTGTGGAAGGACTGGCTATGCCAGTAAATAATATTAAGTGATTTTCATGGTGCTATTTTCCAGAAGTAAAGTTTGTGGAGGCTTTTGAGGCTAATGTGATTAAGTAAAAAATCATCTTCTAAGTCTACACAAATAGAGTGCCTGCTGTCTACTCTGCCCAAGCTCCATTCCTACCCCAGCTCCTTGGTGTCAGTACCGTGTTCTTTGCCACTCATCAATATCTCTCATAACCTTTTATAGGGTTTTGCAAATCCATATACTCCAATCTGGAAATAAAGCACTTATTTTAGAGAGAGTCAGAAGCTGGTAATGAAAAAGAGTAAGGACAGGGATAGGTGCAAAGTTGGTTATTTCATTGGTATAGGGAATTCCTAGATGAAGGAATTTCTTCGAATGATGAAGGTCAGCACCTTTTCTTTAATATACAGTTTTAAAGAGTTGCTTAGAACACTGAAAGGTTGTTAGTTGCCAAGAGTCACACAACCAATATGTGTCAGAGTTGGAGCTTAAACCAAGGTTTTCCTAAACTCTGAAATCAGTTCTCTATGCATTACCCCATTCTGCCTCTTGGTGAAGAATAAACAATGTAAAATATCTAACTTCAAACATTTTTTCTCCATACAACTTATCAATCTAGATGCCATCGGATCAAAGTAATGACCCTTAAGGATAAAATTTTGACTATTTTATTAGTCATGCGTACTAAAAGCTAGCAATAACAATAATGATAATAGTAATAGCAAAAACAAATAACTAGCATTGTACGTATCTCTTTAAGGTTTGCAAAGTGCTTTACAAATTTTATCTCATTTTATTTTGGCAACAACCACCTATATCCTATATACACCTATATATAGCTATATCCCTATTTTAGTGGTGAGAAAACTGAGGCAGACAGAGGATAAATGACTTTCCCAAGGTCACAATGCTGCTAAGTGTCTGAGGCTGGATTTTGACTCAGGTCTTCCTGACTCCAAGTCTAGTACTCTATTCACTGTACCATGTAGCTGCCCCACTTTATTTTCTACTAAGACTCTACTTTTGTTTGCATCAGCCCACTTTTAGGGGAATAAAGGGGATTTTGTTACACAAATTTGGGAAGGTAAAGATGAATTCCAAACTTACTATATTATAATTGCTTTATTTTTGGAAGTGAATGCTCTCCTTTCCTTTTGTTCTGCACCCTACCTGTGAGCAAGCATGACTTACTAAAATTAAAAGCTAAAATTAAAGATTCAGAGTTGTTTTTCTCCAACGTTGTGTTTAAGCAATTGCAATAACAAGAAATCCATCAACAGCTATTTTTGTTTGTTTGCTTCCGAGTTGACAATCCTTAAATGTGTTGCTTTTTTTTGTCATGGATGATTAATCATTGCTACACACTGCTATAAAGTTCCACTTACTGTGATAATGCTGGCATCTTTTCTGTTAATAGCTCGAAGTCATTGGTTCACAAACTTCTTTAATACCAAACAGTTCTTTGCATATTCCATGTCCTTCTTAAAACAGAATGGAGATTTGTCCTTAAGGATTCTAGATTTATAGGAGGTAGTGCTATTTTTCATATGATTTTTGCTTGTTTCTGTAGATCTACCCAGGCTCCATAGAATTAATGCAGGTGATTGAAGATTTTATACACATTGTTGGAATGGGGATGATGGACTTTCAGAATTCATATCTAATGACTGGAAATGTAGGTAAGAAATAGGAATATATTTTGTCAAACTCATACTTTTACTGAAAATCACAAATTGCAAGTATGCACTCTATACATTGTCATGCTTAATGTGTGCAATTTACATAGGTCTATATACCCAAGAATATTTCAGTACATATGCCACAGCTAGTTTGTAGCTGTGCTTTATCCTTGATATATATGCAGTGAGTATAACTCATATTACATATTGATTATGTGTATTTGTGTAGATTGTAGACATACGTATACATACATATCTACAAATATCTAATCTACTACAATCCTATTTTTTAAAGGTGAGAAAAAATAAGATCTCTTAAGCATTATGTAAAGATAATATATAGCATATATAATATACATATATGTATATATACCTAGTTTTTAACAAATGCTTCCTATTGCCACATGCAAAACACACATATGTATATTTACACACACACACACACACATATATATATATAAAATTGAAGAGGTGCATATATATGTGTGTTCACATGTTTATATTATCCATAGGCATGGCACATATATTCTGGTATTCCTGTCTATTGATTGTCTGATTTAATTTCAGTATATCTACACAATGTATTTGGTAAGTCTTCATATTATTCCTTACAATATGACTACAAAATCTAATTATTTGGTTTCAGTTATCTTCCTCAAGTGCTGATTCTGTATATATTAAAGAGCTTTTCAGGTATTCACTTAATGTCTCCAATATTACTGCAGTCATGGAGGTTTCCATGACCCACTTCCCAAGACTCTGTGGATCCCTCAGATCCCTCTAAACTAGTTATGCATTTATTTAAAGAGTAGTACAGTGTAAGAACCTATAAAATTCAGAACATGTTTTTTCTCATAGTGAGTTGTTCTTAGCATTATATATTCTCCAGTGGGGTTTAGTTACACCATATAGCAACACAGATAGTTTTATAGCACCATAATTACATCAAGAGTCAACTGATAGTTATAATAACCAAAATTTGCTTTCTATTCCCAGTGTTAGAACCAGCAAGGACAAATAAATTATCTTCTTAAATGCTATACATACTGAGTTAGGAGTATAGTAATTTCATTTTTATGTTTCTTGTACCCTCCTTCTATGACACATCTGTGACTATGCATAGAATAATTTACCAGTTGTAAAACCTAAGTTACTGGACTTTCCTAATTTGTTTGTGTTTTTATATAGTTAATGAAGAAACTAAAACAAATATGTAGTCATATCTTGAGAATTATAAGTGTACCAGTTTCAAGCCAAGTCTCTAAAGCTCATTTTCTATTCAGCCACATGCAAAAATTACATATGTGTGTATGTATGTATGTATGTGCATATATGTCTATGAGTGTAGATTATTATATGGACAAAAGAAGCTCTTAGTTGGTGGTGAATAGGGAGGTGGGAAAAGTAGTAGTACTAGTATTATTATTCATTAGCACCAGTTGGCTAATCCAAGATTCAAAAGCAATCATTTTCCTTCATAGTCAACAATTAGCCAAGGAAATGTTGAATTAAAATACTTAGATAACATTATCCAGACACATTTCTAAAGTATTTCCTGGCTCATTTATATAAGAATATACATCAATCACACTCCCTGCTATCTGAGAACTATTAGCCACATACACTCATTCCTATCACTTATGGTAGTGTATTACTCCCACTCCTAGAACATAGGAGAGTGAATGTCATTTATCTCTGTACCTTGTACATAGCAGTGACTTATTAAATGTTGAATTCAGTTCAATGAAATGGGAAGTAAAGCAGTCACTTATCTTCCAATTTTTAGCTTCCAATAGCCTTCTGTTACTTAGATACTCAAATGGTTCTATGATCTCATCAGGGTGGATATTCTGTTCAGGAATGAACATTGTGCCCCATCTGCACCTGCCCATGCAGGATTCCTCTCATCTCTATCACCATAGAAGTTCATCAAGGATTTACCCAACATACTAAAGCCTTCCTCACTTTCTCTAAAGAAGGATACCAGTGAAGTAGAAAAGTGGGCTATCAGTTATTCCTCATTCTGGCCATCTAAGCAATGCAGTTTTTTTAAACTTAAATTCTTTTGGTGACCTACTTTTTTCTCTTTCTTTTTAATAGTTCTTTAATTGTTCCATATTGTAGTTTACCTCTCCATTGCCTTCTGAATTATACTCAGTTTATGACTTACAATCACCCTGGTAGATTATTTATTGGTACTAAAAAGTCTGGCTTTTATTTCAGCAAGAAATGTACGGTCAATACAGGAGTTTTGAAATTGTTCATAGTCCAAACTAATCTCCTCCACCAACTCACTCTCCATTTGCAATATCTTTTCAAGGTATATTTTAATGAATGAGCACTGTGGATTATATATCTATCTCTGTGCTATAGTCTAGAGTCTAGACTAGACAATAGGCATTCTTCATCCTCTTGATTTTTCTTATGTGGCTAGTTAGGCCAAATTTTTCTGAGTGGTTATAAACCTTATTCAGGAGACTCATCAGTGTTCTAGAGATTGGTAGAAATACTACATTATGCATGACAGGACTACTATGGAAGTGTTTTGCATGACTACACATCTATAACCTATATCAAGATGCTTGCCTTTTCAATGAGGGTGGGTGGGGAGGCAGGAAGGGAGAAAATTTGTAACCCAAAGTTTTAAAAACACTTGTTAAAAATTTTAAAAAAATTTAAAAAAAAAGAAATGCTATGTTATGCCGAACAGCAACATCTGAATGACCTCTCCTTGCCTTCCAACTTAATCTCTGTGCTAGATCTCCTCCATGAGAGTGTTGAACACAAAACACATATCTACCAATTTTATATCTTATAGGATAGTAAATATCAGAAGGTCATCAAATAAGGTTTTCTCCATTAAGCTTTCCGGAATATTGTAAATTTTGTATATATGCATGGGAAGTCACTTTATTGGAAGAAAGTCTTTAAGATAGTGTTTTATTCAAAAGATAATCATAAAGGAATATTGAATTCTGTTGTGTGATTTTAAAAAAAAATCTTGCCTGTTTCCTACTAACAACTTGATCAAGGATTCCTTCAGGACATGCATGTTATTTTCATAAAATTTTTATATAACTCAGAAAAAGACATAGAGATCTTAAACATCTTTTTTGATATTAATAAGGCCCAAGATATTTTCTGTATCTTTGGCATTTCTCCCACCTTCATATACTTTATGAATTGATCCATCAATGCTTTTATAGTTACATTAAACCATGCACAGATCTTCTCTAAGCACATTTGGTCAATTGCTTTAATATATTAATCTTGTGTCTGTATGCATTTAATTTTTGAATAGTCTTTAATCTTTATTTGTTATTGTTGTTCAGTCCTTTTCAGTTGTGTCCAACTCTATGGGACATCATTTGGGATTTTCTTGGCAAAGATACTGCAGTCATTTGCCATTTACTTCTCTAACTCATTTTACAGATAAGGAAACTGAGGCAAACAGGGTTAATTAACTTTCCCAGAGTCACAGAGCTAGTAAGTATCTAAGGCTGGATTTGAGCTTAGGACTTCCTGACTCCAGACCCAGCACTCTATCTAGTAATAAACTCTAAATTGGATAGGGGATTTGCATGTGGTTCTTGTCACTGGCATATATTAGTCCCTCAAATTAATTTCATGAATCCACATTAAGTTTTCTAAAACTCAATGTCTATTAGGATTCAGTGAAGTACAGTTAAGCCTTAAAATTGCAAATTTGTAGCATAGCTTTAAGTGGCTTAACTAGAAGTACCCAGTGAATCAATAACAGAAAGTTCTTATTCATAGAAAACCTCTCTTCTCCCTTTGTGAGTCATTATGTAATATGATCACATAACACTCAAATCCAGTGTTTCTTTGAGAAAAAGAAACAGCAAAGAAATTGATCATATAATTAAGCAATTTTATTGATAGGGAACTCTGAAACAGACCCTTGCAAGGTGAAAACTAAAAGGTAAATAAAAAAGAAAGGCACTGAAAAGTTAAAAACTATTTTTAAATGCCTTATTAAATACCCCTCCCCCTAAAAATACATACTAATGCCCAAAGTCATGATAAGGGAAATAACCCAGTATTAACTGGCAAAAACAAAGCACACATTTAGAGAGGAAAAGGCATCTTTCAAAACTCAAAAAAACCCACATAATTGAGTAGCATAGGGCAATATGTAAAGTGTGATATTGTCAAGTACAAAGCAGAAAATTAGTAAGCTAATGCTAATCAGTATACCAGAAAAAAAAAAAAAAAACTTGAAGAGCATCTTGTGAGGCCCTACAAGGGACCTGACTGGTTTTTAAGGCAAGTCAAGGAAAAGAAGTCAGCTGCAGCATTATTGAGATCATTTGATAATAACTGACTAGATGGTGCCGACATGGATGAAAATGAGGTCACACGGAATGAGGAAAGATGGATCCTGGAAATTTCTATGGAGACAGAGATTTAAGCATAGATAGGTTTTGAGGTACAGGAAACCAGAAAGAAGCATTTTGATTAACTTTGGGTTAAAGAAGAGAAATCTAGACCAAGACAAGGCCAGTAGAAGCCTGGACTTTCTTCGACTATAAAATTGATTAAGGGGTGAACAATGTTATTATTTTCCTCTTAGTTTCATTTTTTCCTTTTGACTATCTCTCAACTTTTCTTAATACTTCTGCTTTCCTCTTTCCCTCTAGATTAGGAATTCCAAGGTATATGTGGATGTATTTCAAAGGGTTTGTGAACTTAAATGGGGGAAAATTATATCTTTTTTTAATCGATCTTTATCTGAAATCCAGCATTTTCTTCAATTGTATCTTTATTTTTTAGAGAAAATTATTCTGAGAAGGGGTCTATAGGCTTCAGCAAACCATCAAAGGAGTTCATGATATGAAAAAAGGTTGAGTCTTTTTCCTAGTTGTTTCTTCTTCCTTAACTTCAGTAGAAATCAATAAATATTTCTATAGAACATTGAACATTGCCTCTCAAGTATAAAAGAGCTATTTCAGTTTCCAGGATTTCTATGGGTCCACATA